TAAATAATTGTGGTGGGGAGAGGATTTATAGCCCTGGAAACACTAAAGGATATATTCAAAAAAATGCGCTATTCCAGAATTCTCTTTCCCTTACCTCTTCAGATGATGCTCATTTTCAGACATTTAATTGTGGAGTCTTTCCTGTCTTTTCTTTGCTCATTAAAATGCAAAGGGAGGAACTGGAGAACAGTGGAAGACTGGAGACCGCTTAACTCTGAGTCCCATATAACCTCTGGACCTCAGTCATCTCCTCTTTAAAATGAGCAGACTGGACTAGTGAGCACCATCCTTCCTGCCTCTGACATTCTCTGTGACTTCACTGCTTTGCTTCTGGGTCTGGCTCTCAGTCCTCACATCTGAGCAGGGACAGCTTAGCTTATGTAACTGGGATTCTTCAGCGAACAGTTCAGCCGCCACAAAATTCACCCCATCCCAACCTGCTGGACCACTGCTCGGGAAAGAAACCCAGAAAGAAGAGAAAAGAAAAAGCCCAAGGTTAACCCTCTGTTAACAACACATGCCAAAAAGACAAATAAAATAATAAAATCAAATGGGGGCTGCAAATGGTACATCGTATGGGTTCATCTCTTCACAGGGAAAGCCCAGAACTCCTGCCACAAAATTAGGAAGAAAGGTAATTTGCTATGATGAGAATATTTTCCTAACAGATATGATTGGAGGAAGGAAAGCAAATTATTGTAATTACTACGTGGTGACCAAAAACTTTTGGAAAAGAATAGATTTTTTTGAAAGGGAGTGGGAGTGGGGAGCAGTGAGGGAAGGAAGGAAGGAGAACAAAGAACAGGCGTGGAATTGTCACGATACCGGGGCTCCTTCACACAGGGTGTTACGGACCAACACACACCCTCCGGTTTCCTTCCCTCTATTTCCGGCCCAAATTCTCCACGGTATTAACTTTAGAAAAAGGCTCTATCTCACTGAGTTACTTTACTCACATTACCTACAAAGATGGCATAAGGAAGACCTCTGTAAGAAAGGCCACTTCAAAATGATCTACCACACTAATGCGTTTCAACTGCTTTCCCAGGATTTCCATCTCCAAGAGAGAAACCACGGCTGGCTGCTTCCAGTTCCGAGAGAGGTTGGTACAGAGTTATGTAACTGACTTTAGAATCTTGAATGGGTCCAGGCACAGAAACAGGCAGGGACCAGAGAGATGGTGGAGAATACTCATGGGGAGACTGCCAGTTGCCCCTCAATCGTCATGTTTCCTTTGTCCCTGAGAATAGGACTTGTTTTTAAAGTGGGCCCACAGCCACATGGAATAAAGGTTACATTTTCCAGATTTTCCAGCCCACCTTCCAGTGAGGTGCAGCCTTGCAATTACACCCCCAACCAATGTGATG